TGGATGAGTGACGAAACGTTTCTCCCATAAAACGCTACGTCCAGATGAACAGAATCAACTTTTTGGAGATTTACTTTCCTGGATGATTGAGAATGCATCAAGAAGAAACTACCAGCATTAATTGAATGGTAATAACTTAGAAATTACCACAGTATTACGTTCTTGTTTCTCCCTTTTTATCCTACTATTTTCACTTTAATACAAAGATGAATGTGTTTTTATCAGCTCCAACAGATTTCACAGTTCTCATCACAATGCTCATCCTACCGCTGACTCTGCTGCTGGTGATCACTGCCCTTTATTTCTACTGTCAGGTACTGAATACGTGTTTGTATCTGAGAATGAAGCCCTCTGCCTGTGATGCTGTCACTCTGATCTCTCTGTTGTCATCTGTCTCCAGGCCAGCAGGGGGCAGAAATCCAGCAGACAGAAGAACACTGAGCTGCTTGACTCTAATCAGGGTGTTTGTGCAGGTGAAGGAGGGACGGCTGCAAATAAAGGAGTTCAGCAGGACCGCCAAAGAGCTCATCCTACAGCCACATGAATTAATCAGCTGATGTGAGCGACCATCAGCTCAGTTTTCTGCTGAAGACTTAAATCTGTAAACACACCTCACTAACAAATATCTTCATTAATTATTCTGAAATGTGTAGAGATAGATCACCCACCAGGGAAGGTGGTGAGGCAACATTTTAAAAATGCACAGTGTAACACTGGAATGTGGATCATTTACACTGCAGTCAAACAGGCCTCAACATCAGCTTATGACTTCTTGGTAACCACTGGTCACTATGGAAGAATGTGGATTCCTTCACTGGCAGTCTTCTGGTGAAATTGGTGCTGCACTGAAAAGCTCCCTCGCTTTGGTGTCTGCAGGCTGACGAGCTCGCTGCAGTTTGCATAGAAAACACAGATTTGTCTGCAAAAGTTTGCCAACTGCTCACAGACTACGTTCAATATCCTTTTACTTCCATTTATGTAAGAAAGACATTTTTAGTATTTAGAAGAAGTAGTTGCTGTGATGTTTCATGCTGTGTTTTCTTTTTAATTACTCCTCTGGCTTTTATTATCCACTCTTCCTGTTTGCATCAGCCAGTAAAGGCTCACATTCACTTCATTCTGTAGTGTCATGTGTTTGCATTTGATCCTTGGCCAACAGGATACTGCTCCCTTCATCCAACACTAACATCACAGAAGAACACAAGGTTATTGTCTGCTTCCTTTATCCTTAATAAAATGTTCTGAGTCATTTTCAAAATAAATATGTGCTTTAATTGGAAAAACATTTATTTTTTGTAAAGTGGTATGTTATAAAAGTATGTCACGCATCAAATAAACTAATGGATGTATACTCTGAATATAACACAGAGAAGGAAAAGTTTATAGTTTGTAACACTCTAAACAAATATTTAATTAAGAAGGATAAGTTAAACTTTTGTAGATTTTGCTATTAAATTGTTGGGACCAGAAAGTACATTACACATTATTCAAGAACCATCAGAGGTTGATATTATGCCAGTCACCTCAGGTGACTACATGGAGTCATTTTGGAGATTTACACACTTTTTATATTCACCTGCAGTTTTGGTCATTGCTCATCACTCTGCTTTTTACAGGAATATAAATCCTATCACAGTAGATAGATAGTAACTCTAACTGCTGACAGACACATGTAAAGAGTACAAACCTGACACTTTTTTCTTTCTTTTTTTTGTGAATTAAAAAAAAGTGTTTCTTTTTATTTCTCCGTCAGAGTGCAGACATGTCTGCTGCCAGCAGTCTGCGATCTGAAGATCAGTTTCTGTGCTGCATCTGTCTGGATGTGTTCACTGATCCAGTCAGTATACCATGTGGACACAACTTCTGCAAAAACTGCAACACTAGACCTCATCTGAGGGTCAACACCTTCATCTCTGAGGTGGTCGCTCAGTTCAAATGTGAAGTTCAGCAGAAGGCCAGCTACAGCAGCTCAGAGCAACAAGCTGCCAAACCAGGAGAAGTTCCCTGTGACATCTGCACTGGAACCAGACTGAAGGCCCTGAAGTCCTGCCTGGTGTGTCAGGCGTCCTACTGTCAGACTCACCTGGAGCCTCATCTGACAAAGAAAGGTCTGAAAAGACATCAGCTGATTGATGCTGTGGAGAACCTGGAGGGCAGAATGTGTAAGAAGCACGATAAACCTCTGGAGCTGTTCTGTAAGACTGACCAGACGTGTCTGTGCACGCTGCTCTATTTCAGACCACAAGAACCACGAGTTTGTTCCTCTGAAGGACGAATATGAAGGAAATAAGGCAGAGCTGGAGAAGACAGAGGCTGAAATTCAGCAGATGATCCAGAAGAGACGACAGAAGAGTCAGTGAAGATGAGTAAAGGTGCTGCAGACAGACAGAAAGCAGAAGGTGTTCAGGTCTTCACTGCTCTAAAGAAGTCTGTCGATAGAGGCCTGAAGGAGCTCATAAAGGAGATCGAAGACAAACAGGAAACAAAAGAGAAACACGCTGAAGGTCTGATCAAAGATCTGGAACAGGAAATCTCTGAGCTGAAGAAGAGAAGATCTGAGGTGGAGCAGCTCTCACGCTCTGAAGACCACCTCCACCTACTCCAGCTTCTTGTCCCTGAAAGCTGCTCCACCCACCAAGGACTGGAGAGGAGTGAGCGTCCGTCCACCATCATACGAGGGGACTGTGGTGAGAGCTGTGGCTCAGCTGGAGGAGACGCTCAGGAAACTCATGAAGAAGAAGCTGTTTGAGGCTGAGCTGAAGAGGGTCCAGCAGTATGCAGTAGACGTGACTCTGGATCCGGATACAGCAAATTCTAAACTCATCCTGTCTGATGATGAAAAACAAGTGCACTGTGGTGATGTGAGGAAGAAACTTCCTGACAACCCAGAGAGATTTTCTTACTGTGTTAATGTTTTGGGAAAGCAGAGTTTCTCTTCAGGCAGATTTTACTTTGAGGTTCAGGTTAAAGGAAAAACTGACTGGGATTTAGGAGTGGCCAGAGAGTCGATCAACAGGAAGGGAAAAATCCCACTGTGTCCTCAGGATGGTTTCTGGACTGTGTGGCTGAGAAATGGAAATGAATACAGAGCTCTTGCTGGTCCTCCAGTCCCCCTCTGTCTTCAGTCTGGTCCTGAGATGATAGGGGTGTTTGTGGATTATGAGGAGGGTCTGGTCTCCTTTTATGATGTAGGTGCTGCAGGTCTCTGATGGTGACAGATGCACCAGTCACCCGTGAACAACTGCACTGTAAAATCAAATTAGTTCACAGAACTAAAAAAAAACAAAAAACAATGCAAAAAATCTAAGTAAAGCTTACTTAAAAGAACTACGTTAGGACAGCTTATTCATTGCAAGTATACAATACTAAGAATAACTTGATGTTTCTGACTGTGAAATACTAAATGTTTACCCACAGATAAACATTTCAAGTTCTACTAAATTAAAAAACAATTTGTAGCAACTTGCACAATAATGTTTACCACTCAGTTGATGTCTTTCTGTCCAACAGCTCCATTTCTAGACTTGTACGAGTTTGATGTAATGTGGGGAGTGCTGGTCCCGAGCCTCAAAGACAGTAAGAAACAAGTACAGGGACCAAAAAGTTATTTAGAAGCTGTTTTGATCCCTAATGGTTGTGCAGTCATTATAACTTACAAGACAGAAGGTCAATGTAGACCTCATACAACCAAATTAGACTAAAAACACCGTCTATTACTGTGTCTGAATGTGTGGTACCACCACTGTCAGTTTAGGCCTAAATAAATACGTGTTTAAAAAAGAACACCTAATTTAAATGTAATCATTACATGCTTGTTAAAAGCTAACATCCAATATATAAAGTTTCTAATAAGCACAATGACCTGATAAAACATGTGGCAGTGCTTACCCAAAATGTTTCATATGATTCAAACATGGGATTTAATTAAATTCTTTAGAAGGACAAGCTGAATTACTTTATTTTCAACTATAAAGCCAACCTAGACTTTAACTATTTAACAACCCGGTAATCTGGTTATGGCTTTGGACTTTCACAACAAAACCTGTCTAAACACGTTTTGTTACAAAAAACCCACTTGAGATCTGTGACATTAATCGATGTCACAGATGTTGAAAAGCAATCACAAAGCATTGAAATAAATACAGGGGTCAAAATATACAGTTCATATGTTATAAAGGTTTGTATGGATTAAAAACAAGCCCCGCCCCCTAACGGCTGCATCTTCTGAATAAGTTTCATCTGGGCTCTTATAGCTGCTCACTTTTCTATTTCAAACAATCAACAAAAAATGTATACGATTTTTATACAAGGTTTTTAAAGCTGCAGGGTTCATTTTTAAGTAACATGAGCTGAGATGCAGCAGCATGCACACTGAGCATCGGTGATATGAAAAGCTAGGCTAAAACTGGCTAGTTAGCAAGTTCATAAACCTGGTGCTAAACTGAGAGAATGCACAAAAACAGTTTGAATACATTTCCAGTTTACTTAGTTTTTCTAATTTATATCAACTCAAATAAACTGAGTTGATCAGCTTTTTGAAAAGTACCGGTAACTTACTTAAACTGAGCTCTAATAACAAGTTGATAAAAATGGAGTTTGGTCTACTTAATTAAACACAATATTAGATTTTATGCCATCAGTGGAAACATCAAAGCCAATGAGATATCCTATTGTTTTGTCAGCTTGCAGTAGTCTGGAAACAGCTTCAGTCCCAACGTGCTTTTATAGGTAGAAAGATTTCAGGCAGAGGACAAATAAAGATCTGTGTGGATTTCAGTGTTGTAGACAGATGTGGTCTTACATGTGTTGCAGATGTAAGCATGACAGGAGGAGAGAAGCTCCTGAGTGGTGTGTGTAAGACTGCAGGTTATCAAGGTTACTCAGTTTAACAGTATGATTGCAGTATCAAAAACATCTAAAATGCTGTGAATAATAAAAAAAGAGAGAAACTAATGAAATTCCAACCAGAATACTGAAATGAGTGAACACACTCTAACACTAAGCTAGAACAGCTCTGTAGGAGACGCCTGGGAATTAAACGTGCTGTTTGGTGTACTTCCACATCATGACCAGCACGTGGAGGCAGAGTCCTTCTTCTGCCGTCGGAGAACTCACATTTACAGTCTTTTCGGGCTCATGTTCAGACTTTATCACTAATATTATCACCTTTATTCTTTTAATTTTTTAACTCGCATTTATCCTCTTTGGACTCTGAACCTCTGCATGTGTAAACATGAATATTCAGACTACATTTATAAATTCTGCGTTCATCAGCTGATCGTCTCTCTCTGTCTCGGCAGAAATGTTTCTGTCGAACTGTTCACTGTTTTTGTGTTTGGTCTGAATTTCTTTGCACAGTTTAGGAAGCTTTCACCCTCCGATTACTTTCCCTTCTCCTCCACCTCCTCCTGCTGCTCCCCACAGTGCAGGGAGGAGGAGAAAGGGAGGAGGAGAAAGGGAGGAGGAGGGCTCAGAGATCTGACGCAGTGAGCGGCTGCTCCTTTACTTCCACTCCCCGCTTCCAGGAAGCGACACGGAGGCTCGGAGAGCGCTCACAAACGCGCACATCCACCAGGACGGAAAGAGGCGGAGGACAGCTAATGGAGGCGATGAGGGCGGCGGCGATGACTGGAGGAGAAGCGAGGCTCCGGAGCTTCGGTTTAAAGCCGGAGCTGTGAGCGCTGAGGTCTGCCTTTATTGTGTGCTGAGTGGCGCAGGAGAAAAGGATGCCTCCGCGCACACGCCTCCCGCTCCTCTCGACAAACTCGATCATTTCCCGACTCGAAGCGGATCGTCTGCCCTCTCAAGAGGAGGGTTTGTGGGTGAGGAGCGCGCTGATTTCTGAGGGACTCCGTCCACCATGCTGCCCGCTCAGGATCCATGAAAACTCTCAATGAAAACAAGGAGAAGGAGGAGGAGGAGGAGGGGTCCGGCTGCAGCGCCATGGAGGACAAGGAGAACAATCTGAAAACGGCCAGGCTGTGGAGGGATGCCGCCCTCCGCTCCAGGAAGCTGCGGAGCAACCTGAGGCAGCTCACTCTCTGCTCCAAAAACAACCAGATCATCCTGCCAGAGGACATAGCCGACATCGAGGCGCTCAACCTGGGGAACAACTCCCTGCAGGAGCTGCCGGACGGCCTGGGATCCTCCCTGAACAACCTGCGCGTCTTGGTCCTCCGCAGGAACAAGTTCAGCTCTGTCCCTAGGGTAGTGTTTGAGCTGGGGCGGCTGGTGGAGCTCGACATGAGCCACAACTGTTTGAGGAGCCTTCCTGAGGGCGTGGGGCAGCTGAGAGGGCTGAAGAAGTTGTGCATCAGCCACAACAAAATCCAGCACCTGCCAGCTCAGATCGGAGCTCTGCAGTCTTTGGAGGAGCTCGACATGAGCTTTAA